CAATTATTTGATATGTTCTATCGTGATCCTGATGGATTTTATTCAGAAATGAATTCTATCCAAGCTGATGTATGTCGATCGAATCGTGTGAATATGTCTTCTGATTAATAATACTATTTTGAATTGAGTTTTTATTAATTTAAATAAAAAATAAATAAATTTAATCCGAACAAGATTTGTTGTAATCGTTTATTATTTAATTGTGTTCTAATATTTTCTTCATTGGGTAGTTTCACCAAATTGACTTTACTAGATATAATTGCTAATATTTTACATGCATATGTGGTTGGACCACATTCTTTTTGTAAATAAATGTACTGAATCTAGCAGAACATTCAATAGCTCAATATAATCCTGTCGTGAAGTTATAAAAGTAACGAAAGCTTCTTTTGAATAATGTGTTCGATTGACTACAGGTTCATTGTCTTCTTGAAAAAAATATGTTTTATAACTTGAGAAAGAAATAATCCATTGTTTGTAAATTATAAGAGATAATAGACATATTACAAAAAGTCGAAGAATAAACGATTTTTTTTTCGAAATAGAGTTGATTGATGAACATCTAGAGGATGAGTGTAGGTGTGAGTGTGGATGTATTGCATTTATCTCGCACCCTCAAAGGATACCAAACTCATCTAAAACTGAATATATGAGAAAAAGAGGGTGTGGGTGTGGGTGTGCGTTGAATATATAGTCATCATATACCCCATCCACCCAAATCACCCCACACTCATGTACACCGATACGCACACCCTCAGAAAAGGGAGAATATTTCGAGATTGTTATTTTTCGACTCCGTCGCTGCAGACATCGCCGGAGAACTGATTCGTAATACGAAAAAGAATGAAATCTCAAGTAGTGCACTTGGGTTTTTTCGCCGACTGTTCTTTTACCAATCCTTCGAAGAGGCAAACACAGAGAGTGTGCGTGAGGAAGTGAGACGCCGCAGTTTGGGTGTGGGTCTGAGGTGGCTCTGGGTCTGAGTGTATGTGCACTGGATGTGGGCGTAGCTGCGGTATTGGTAAGTATGAAGTTCAAGTGAAGGTGTGGGTCTGGTTCTGAGTGTATGCGAAGTGGGTATGGGCGGGGCCAGGGTGTTGGTGGGTCCGAGGTGTGAGTGTGAATGAGTATGTCTGTAGGTATCCATGGTGTGCGATTATTATATCCACACTCACAATCACCTAGGCTCAAAACCATACCCTCACACCCTCACCCACACTTGCATCCTATTTATATTTGGTTTTTTTCAACATGTCTTTTCTTTTATCAAAATAGATGTATTCTCTATTAAATTTAATTCTACTGCACGGCAGTTTTTGTTTGCACATGATAAAATGCATTGTTATCTGTTGATAGAAACGAATAAGAGGGACACATAAGAGTTATCTCTTGCAAATAATTATCAAGAAAAACAACGAAGATAAACATTGTGCATACAAGAAAATTCGCTTCAACTAAACACAATCATCTATTGTTACCTTTATCAATTCTTTCGATTTATCAAGTAAATTAATTTTAATTTTTGTTAATTTCATGTTCGTAACAGAAAATATAATTTAAAGACATTTTTCTGTCTTTATTGAATTCTGATATAGTAATAAGACGACCTAAAAACATTCTTTTACATAATTTAGAAACGATAAATAGATTGGTATATAATTAGAGTTGTCTGTATTAATTATTTACGTAATCGGCAGTCGCTTAGATCATAATAATAATAAATAGCATGGTCGAAATATTCATCTGAGCCATTTAGATAAACTTTTATGTTATAATGTTGTGCATGAAAAGGATACTACTTCGACGATCATTGTCAAACTTGCGTTCGAAAAGTATTACAAGAGTTTCTAATAGGAGATTGAATATTTTGACTATATACTTGACACAAGGACATGTCTGAGTTTTTTGAGCTAGTGATATTTTTTCTGAAGTTTGAATAAAATATCAAGTTTTTGAGCAGAAGATGTAGGGTGTGGGTGCGAATGTGAAGACAGTAACATTGACAGATAACATGAGACATATTTCGCTGATAGTGAGAATATAAATAATGAAGCGGATTTGATGAATTCTAGAAGCTTTAGCTAAACCTCTCTTAATTCGAACGTACCCTAATAGAACCAGAAGAATTGCATTGGACTATAACAAATCTTTGTGAACTTTAGTAGATCATAACAGACTCAACAAGATTCTGGTAAACTCTACTGCACTCAAAAAGATTCAATCAAACTTTGTGCAATCTTGATAAACGATAATAGACTCGGGTGAACCCTTACAGAACCATCTCAGTGTTCACTGCGCGTGAGAGCAGATCAGAAAGTTAGATTCAGTTATATACTTATTTGAGGCAATAGATCGAACAAATCAGGATTGTTTATGATCTATACGCTGCGGGTGTATTTTTGATAAGAACAACACACATCTACCCTCACCCACAGCCACACTCATCCACATCCAACAATTCGTACCATCGCCTCACCCGCACTCAGTTCGATGCCCACAGATCATGCGTTCACCCACACTCATTCACAGTTATTGTTGATTTCGCCATTATTTCTTTTTTTTTTACTTTCAGATAAAATACAAATTTGTTTATCATCGTATTTATACTATTAAAAAGCAATATTAAAATAAATAATTATTATGGCTTCATATGCACCTCCAACATCAAACAATTCATTAAAAACTGTTGAATGGATGTGGCAATCTAATCCAAATCCCTATTCGAAATCTGAAAAAGCTATATGGAGTCATTATTCCGATTTAGAAAATTTAATCATTGAAGAAGCCTTTCAAGATAAACAACCACGAGCTCAACTCGATGATTATTATATTGATTTCAAAACGAATCATCAAATATTGAACAGTGATAATTATAAACAACGGCCTATTAAACGTGTAGTTCGTAAAAGAGAAGACAAACATTTAAGAGAAGCACGTTTCATGGATCTTCCTGCTAGTTCGGGACGTTCATTTGGCGATGAGTATGGTTGGGTATCGCCATTTATAATGGAAGTTCGAAGAGACATGAGCCTTAAACGAGATGAATTACCTTCGAAAAAACCAAACATGATCCCAATGTTTGTCGAAAAAGCTGCTGATGGTATTATTGAAGAAGGAAAACACATTCGAAAAGAACGAGAAGCCGAACAATTAGCTAAAATTCTCAGAGAAAAGAAGAATATGGGAATAGAGGAAGTATGGAAATGTTGTGTTTACCTTTATTCCTTAGAAAGTTTCTTATATAAAACTTTGAATGCAGCGATGAGATTGGTAGGTGATCAAGAACAAGAACAAATATGGAAAAGTAAAGTTCGTACATTGGGTCCATTTTGTTTATTACTCTGGGATGATCCATTTAATACAAAACTTACAACCAAAAAGACACTTTATCGGGGAGCCACTTTGACTAAAGAACAGATCGCTAAATATAAAGAAATGGCTAAAGATGACGAGGCATATGGGTCATTTCAAGCATATACATCTACTAGTCGAAATCGTGAAGAAGCAGAAAAATTTGGAAATACTTTATTCATTATGGAAGTAGTAATTGCTTTTATTGCCGACCTTAGTGAAATATCTGAATATCCTAACGAAGCAGAAGAACTTGTTACACCAGGTGTTTGCTTTCGTGTTATAAGTGTTGAATTCGATCGTAAAAAGAAGAAACATTTGATTCATTTGCAGTTAAGACAACGATGGTCTAGTAAGTGAGAAAAATCCTTTATCATAATTTTAATCATTTGAAAATATTTTCTGAGCATTTCTATTCTCATTTGATCTATCGCATTAACATTAGAGTAATTGACTAAATTATAATTTCGTCATATAAATATGTTCAAGCTGAATAGATGACCACCCATGTCTTCAAACTCGCCAAGGTTTGGGCGATGAATCGCGATTTTTCAAAATATTCACGGTTATATCGCCAGTGAGAAATGCTTATTTTGTCGAAATCATTACGAATCAAGACTTATCGACAAATAAATCGGCAAAAAGTCCTTGATTTGGCGATTTTATCACGATAGATCTCACAACTAATCGGCTTCTATATCGTGATAAAATCGCCAATTTTTTCGGGATTTTTGGTGGTATGAATAGTGCAGTATTAAATCATGTTAAATTATCTAGTCTATTAAAATTCTGTCATTTATGATGATTATATTTTTATCCAAAAATAACCGTCATTTCAGACGATTTTATGGCGATTTTTTAAAGAGTAATCGTCCATCAAATCGCGATTCATCGATGACTTTTTATCGAAATCTTGGCCTATTGCGATATATCGCGACAAATCTCACAATTAATCGGGTGCTAAATCGTCGATTTTCCTCCGATTTTGATGACATGAGCGTAATCAATAAATAGTAGATAAACAAGCGATACAGCATTTCCTGCACAAATGTTAGTTGATTTATCATTAGTTAAAACATACATGAACAACTTTGAAAATATTTGTAGAGAACCGAACGAGTTACCAATAAAAAAATATGCTTCAAGTATTTTCTAAAAATTGTCACCAGTTGTTATTGATTTGACTTGCATTTTTTGAAAAGACAGTCCGTAAATGTCTCTGCAAAATTTCATAAGAGGATCTCTTCCAAAGCATAACTGTAAAACTATATCTGCTCAAAAGTACTATACTCTAATAAGATATAGTATTAAACTTTTATTCATGTTTTTTCAATT